ACACATCCAATAAATTTCATTCCACTTCACGATTGTGTCCCACTTGTTGTTGATTCTTCACAAAAAATTAGAATTTTATATCTTTTTGTTTGAAGCCTGAAATGTGGCAAGAGGTTGAAAAGTTCAAGGGGGCCGAATACTTTCGCAAGGCACTGTAGCTCACAAACCAAATACGTTCTTATCTACCACTAAAGGCAGCCCAGGTACCACCTGTACCACAGTGTGAGGAAAGTTTTACTGGTCGTTCCTCCTACCCAATAATCAGGTCTTTAAAACAGGGCAGCAGTTTGCTGGGGCTGAAACCAGAGGAAGGAAACGTTCACATGCAGCACTTTCCTGTTTCTTTGTCATTTGTCTTCAGATCCATATAAGTGAGTGTAACACAAACAGTGTAATTGAGGGTTTGCAGCTGTGACTCAGTGAAGACCAGTTTCAGAGACGGGACAGTTAGTTTGTCATAAAAGCTGAAAACAATTGAGATATGACTCAACCGTGATTATTTAGATGAGAGGCTGAGCCCTGCAGATCGGCTTCACTTCTTCCTCCCTGCTCATGACCTTGCTGGACCCAGCCTTAGCTGTTTCAGGAAATGAGTGTTTGAGTATGAAAAGTCATGCCAGATCATGCAGCATCTCAACCATCATCTACATGCAAACATTGAATTTTTTTTAAACAACTAATTGGCTGTTGGGAAAGGGTTTAATTAAGTCTGAGATGGTCACAGATGGAGGTTTTCTTGTGGGGGTGTTTTGAAGCGGGAATTTAAGTGTACTAACAGTCAGCTGATTCAAGGCCACCATCTTCTTTGAGAGGGATGATGTGATCCTAAATCTCCTGCAGAATGTGCCTCTAATGGGCAGCTGTAAACTGCTTTACCACCTGTTTGGTTGGTGAGTTGTCATGAGACAGGAGCTCCATGTTGCTTTAAGCTCAACTTCCACATCACCAGAGCTACAAATCTCATTTTCTCCCTTTACATTTACTTATATGTTAACTTTATGTATCAGGTAGAGGACTTAAGGAGATAGTTTGGATTTCTACCAATAACAGCAATCAATATAACATAAAAATCACTATAAACGGCACGGCGCTGATGGTGTAGGGGTTAAGCATGACCATGTACAGAGGCTACAGTCCTCGAAGCGACTGTCCCGGGTTCAAGACCCGGACCCGGCAACATTTGCCAAATGTCTCCCCCTCTCTCTACCCATCTTTCCTGTCTGCCTACTGTCAAAATAAATTAAAAAAAAGGCCACTAGTGCTGAAAAAAAATCACTATAAACACAATATAACCCCACAGTTATTGAACAAGCACTTCTTCATGCATCTGTCCATGTATATATTCATAAATTTATTCTTTTTAACTCCATCTGTCCTCATATGCTCATCTCGTCTTTCTAGGTTTATTCATCGGTCTTCATCCATCAATATCTGTTGATGCTGGGAACCATTAAAATTTTTAATCAGGATTAATTGCACTGTTATGTGCAAAATTCAATAATGAACTCAAAAGTTGTGTTTTATGGATTTTTAAAGTACTTCTATATGAACAAAAGTAGTAAAAACATTTGGTTTGGAAACAATTCAAACAGGATGCTCATTCACTATAAAGTAAATACACATTTATTATGGTTTAATAGTTAATCAGATGTTTAAATAAACAACTAACTAAGGAACCACAGCAAATAAATAAAAGACATTAGTTGGAAACAACATAGTTCCTCCCCCATTGTGGTAAATTGGTAACGTGTAAACCAGCACAGATATTTAATGAATTACTACGTTGTTATTTTCTGGAGTGGGAGAGCGCCCTCCTTGGATAATGACATGGGAAACACTGAGTAAAAGTACTCAAATGCCGTTCTATACTTTAAGTCACACTGGACGACCGGTTAAGATCTTTTTAAATATACTTATTTGTTTTTAATTATCTGCATCATTTATTTTTGCTGTTTCATTAATGTAACCATGTTTTGATGATTATATTCTCTTTATGAAGTTTTAGTAATTTGTATCTGTGAAATGTTCTGTATAAATAAACTTTACTTAGTTACAATTGTGGCTGCACGGTGGTAGCACTGCTGCCTTGCAGCAAGAAGGTCCTGGGTTCGATTCCCGGCCGGGGGGTCTTTCTGCATGGAGTTTGCATGTTCTCCCCGTGCATGCGTGGGTTCTCACTGGGTACTCTGGCTTCCTCCCACAGTCCAAAGACATGCCTGTTAGGTTAATTGGTCACTCTAAATTGCCCT